CCTGCATGTGATTAAATTTCATTTAGACCCAACCCAGTGCCTCTTGCCGGGGAGAGTATTGAAAAAGATGTTTGGCACTTTTCATACATTCATACTGCAAGCACACAAAGGCTCCATACTGTGGCTGAGGGAACTTTAGACAGCAGATAGCTTCAGATAACTAATGCACACCTTACATTACAAGGAAAATTAAGCACACCCCAATTAAGCACACCCCTAATTCCTAAGAATTCACATTTGTGCAAGGAAGGCTCCCTTACGATACAGGAGTGGTTGACCTGCTGCACCAGAGCGTACAATTCTAATAGCACTTGTTGCAGCATAAAGAAAAAATAAGAAATAATGGCTAGTCGTAATGGCCTTTTATTTTTATTTTTTTATATATAATTCGTGCATTAGCAGCATGGAATGGACATGTGCTCTGCATGGAAGTTATTATTTGCTAATTTGCAGCTTAAAAAAAGAATATACACACACAGCACACACTATCTATTATGTATCACGCATTACAATTACAACAACAGTTTGATTAATCACTAGCAGTCGGTTTTGTTGCTGCTCTGCTGTGGAATTCTGGGTAATGGCGTTGTTTACCATTTAGTAAGTAGCAACATTTCACTCTGTTTCACTACATTAAACTGCTCAAATAAAGCAAATGGATATTGAAAAGAGTTGGCCATCTGCCTTTATTTTCTCTTACTTTTGTTAAGAGGGGGGGCAGGCGGGTGGGTGTGGAAATCCCAACCTCCTCTGAAAGGGCCAGGACCACAGCCATGAAACAGATAGTGACAAAAAACACCCTTTTTATTTTTTTTAATCAGGTCAAAATCTCATCTAGATGCAGTTCTGATGAATGGTAAAAAGCTTGCTTTGTGGATTTGGAGTGGGTCTCAAGACCAGCAATGAAGTCTAATGATTATTTAATGGTGCCGCGCTTGACGCCGGATTATGTGAGACTTCTCATCCCCCGTTAAGAGTTTGATGAATAGGTTTTGTGACAGCCATTTAGGAATAAACAAGAATTCATCAGTCTGTATAAGAAGGAGCCAGTTTATAGATGAAGTTTCGGGAGGCAATTCATGAGGTCAGTCCCATTTAGATGTAGACTATTAGGGCACTGCTTTTGAGACCGGCCATACAAGGGACTTACTCCAAACGGACCCCTGAAACACAAAGCCTTCTTTCAGAAGAAAGCCTGAAATTTTTATGACCCTGCTGCTAGGAAGCACATCAACTTGTCACTGTGAAGATCTGCTAGGCCAGGACCTCATCACTCTATTAAAGAGCTCTGTGACCCTATTGATTTGAAGTATTTAAAGCAGGGGTGAAGTTCAAAGCAATTTCTTTTCTCTACTATTACTCAGCCTCTCTGTGTCCTGGCTCTAAAACATCTGCTGTCAGTTCCTCTCTGGTGTTTGACTCTGGAATCTGTCACCAGAGAACAGAGTAGTTTTATTTGGAATAAATTGGATTCTTTTTCTTCTTTCTTTCTCTTCTTCGGTTTTCAGCATTTTGTACTGAGATCAATGGTTTACACTTCTTCATGTGCCAAAAGACATAACTGCAAGTGTTTTCCTTTGTGTCTTTTTAGGGCGGGAGGGCGGGGACGGCTGAAGCAGACTTAGCTCCCGAAGATCTCTGATTGGATCCATCCTCTTCGCAAGTTAACAGGCACCACCAGTGACTCTAATTGGTGGATCAACACAAACTAAACCATAACCTTTCTTTTCTTTTCTTTTTCAGGAGGAGAGCAATGGGGAAAGGCCAAAGCTTTTAATCCTGATGCATTTGCATTTTTAAGAGCAAAGAAATCAGCCTCTCATTTGCACCCATATTTTTGCATTTTGGCATCATTAGAAATCAGTCGAGCTCCATGCACAAGCAGGGTGGAGGGTCCGTGGCTAACCATCAGAGCCCTCTGGCCCTGCTAACTCTTTTTCTGGCTGTTGATGCTTGTTTACCTGCTTTCTGAGCAGGCGGGCGAGCAAGCGGTGGCAGGATCAAGGAGAAGAAATAACAACCTCCTTTGCTTATCTTGCCTTCTCCCTCTGGTCTGCTGGGAAGATTGGGCCCAGAGGAAAAGAGCAAGCAAATTTGCAGCAGAGACATCCCTGTGGGGGACTTTTGGTCACATGGGAAAGGCCCACTCAGAGCTGGCATTGACTTCCCCGACTCCCTATATTGTCATAATGTGTTGCTCAGCCTTCATCCTCCCTCCTCGCTCTTCCCTCCCACCCCATCTTTTCTCAGACTTTGGGTTCAACAAAGATGTTCTTTACATTGGGTAGCTTCACATTTTAAACTCTGGATCAGTTTTGGGTGAGCTAGCTTGAACCGCACAATGGCTCCTGAGTTGTTCTGACAAGAGTGAACACTAGAGACAGGCCAGAGAGCCTTCATCATCATGGAAATTATGAATAGCTATAACGTAACTGTCATACACTCATGACAGTGTGATCCTAACCATCCTTACTCAGATAAACATCCGACTGAGCTTAAAAGAACTTACTATTTACTATTTACTAAATAATTTAGTAATAATACTAAATTATATTATTATTATTATTATTATTATTATTTGTATAGTGTATTTGAAACTGCAGCCTCCATTTCTTAATTAATGTCATATTTGCATTCTGTCTTTCCTCCAAAGAGGTTAAGGTGTCCTGCATGGTTCCACCATCTTATGCTCACATGAACCCTGAAATGTAGGTTAGGCTGAGTGATAGTGACCTCTTCTCTATCTGTTTTACCTCACTGACTTTTAATTTGAAAGAAAAGCTCTTGAATGTAGTCTCTTTAACATAATTTAGAATCTGTTTGATATTTGTTCTCATCACTTGGATATGAACCATTTTAACCACAGAATTGTTCGTTTTGGTTTAGACTACTTATTGAGCAAAGTCTCTTTTCTCATTTAGCATCATTACACCCAGTAATATTTTTCTAGAAAAGGAGGTGCCAGAGGTCACTATGAACACCTTGTTCTCTTATAATGGCAATGGTGCCCACCCAAGAGGTGTTGGAACTGAGATCCAGCGAGTCCTACCTGGGGGGGAAAAACACCCTGATTACACCTCTCTTTTCTGAATTTAATGCAAGATTTAATTGTGACCCACAGGACGGTTATTTTGTCATAAAATCAGTTTCTGGAGGCTGTAACTGTTGCTTCTGCAGCCAGTCTTCTCTCTTTTCATTTCACTCAGATCTGCAACCTGTATGCTTTGAAATATTGGCAAAGCCTCTCCTCCTCCAAGACGTGATTTCTGCGTCACGCAGAAGGCGTTACGCCCCCTGCCCCACTCACCTGGCTGGCGCACCACGCCCACAGGTAAGCACCCAACCGGGCGGCTTGGAGGGGGCGTGGTTTGCAGTTTAACTTACTGCTGCGCCAGCCATTCCGCCTCATTTTCCGCCTTCTCGTCCCGAGTCAGCTTGGAGTCAGCTAGGAATCATCGTCGCGGTTAGCAGAAGCCAGGGAAGAGCTCGGCCACGAGCATTTTATATGGGTCTGATTTGTCACTCGGAGCATGCTGAGATAGCAGCTAGGCTCCAAAGTGGGAACATATGTGACAGCCAAAGATGGGAAAGATCATGGGTTGTCATCTCCCATCTAGGCCTACTCCTTGATTCAGGGCATCTGTAGAGGGTCTCCTGCACCAAGGGGCTCCATCACTGGAAGAGTAGGTGGTGGTGCAGGAAAGGATCCTTTTCATTCCATCAAGCTACAAAACTCCTTTCCCAGGAACAAAACAGTTAATAATAATGTAACATTAAACAACAGTGGGAAAACAGCATCCCAGAACACGGCCCTGCAACTAAATCACAAATGGAGTCTTTTAGTTATTTGCATGGATTGCATGTCAAAGGTAAAAAAAAAAAAAAATCTTGGGTAAACAACTCAGTTGTTTTTAAATGTCAGCAAGCAAACCTTGCAGCTAGTTTGGAAAGAATTTTATTTCTTTTCCCCAAAACAATTTGAGATCCCATATTTTCTTGCAAAAACTGCAGGCAGTCAAGCACCTTCTGAGCAGTTAATAATAGATTAAGCATTGCATGCGCATTATAGATTTTTTTCTGTGACACTGGGCAAGTTGTGGTAATAAGCTTGCGGAGTAAGGAGATTAGCATGCCATTTGGATGATATCAGGCATTTCAGAATTAACAAACAAAAAGTGTCAGGCTGGATATGCAAATGAAATTCCTTTAAAATAATTTAGAACAGCCATGCATTGACAGAAATAAAATAAACAACAAACATAAACATATGTATATGTATATGTTTCCAGAGGGGAACCACATTAGTTGTTGAGGCAAAAAAGGACATAGAGTCTTATGGTGCCTTAAAGACTAACAAATTTTGGATGGCATATAAGCTTTCATGACCTGCTGTTCACTTCATCTGATGTGTCTATATGTTGTTGGCATCCATCTGTCTTGAGAGACAATGGAGTGTGCCACCAGGGGTGAAGTTAAACCTCTGTGTTAGCAGCACCAAAGTGACTTCCTTGGGACACAATCCTGGGTGGTGTGTATGGAGGTTCTGGGCTGCCCAGATGACAAGACCCTCTTGGCCTCACTGATGTGGTCCAAAGAAAAGCAGAGCAGGACATTTGGCAACAGCTTGGCTACAGGAGTTGCTGGAAGGAGGCGTACAAAGCACCATCGAACCGTCTTAGGGATTCCACTCCAGATTTGTGTAGAGTTTACTCCATAGCCTTGTGTTTACCCAAAGATATCAGCATTTCTCCTAGCTGGGATATCTTCCCAGGTTGATGAGCTCCATCTGCTCCTCATCTATATGTCCAACATGGGTATAAATATATTACTACTGAGCCAAAATAGGTTGAAAAGTTGGGGGATTACTAGTAAGTGGCGGGCAGTAGAGGTGATATTTCTTTTTTCATAGAAGCAATGCAGCCTAATCATTCAGGGTTGCAGATTCCAGGGAAATCGCTTAAGGGAGGAGCACTCAGCGTCAGGGCCAGGAGGAAAGGAGGACCAAATAGGGCACATATAAGTACATGTGGTCTATATGTGTGAGCTTGTTTGGCGGTTCTAGCAGGGGAGCGCAGCTATCGTATACCCTTGACCGAAGAACGGTACACTCCTTCTATCTGGGATGGTCGTCCTCTTCCACCGAGCGCGCAGCTTCGGGAGGGACGCACATGGAGCGGTGAGGGAGGAAGGGGACACCTGCCTAGCCAGCCAGATCAGCCGAATCAACCCTGGCGATCAATGGGGTGACAGATGTCGCAGCCAGATCGCCCTCACATCCCATGTGGTCTATATGTGGTCTATACCACAGCAACTGCTGACCTGTGGCCCTCAGAGGGATGGAGCTCAAGCGGAAAAATATTAGCACTCCATTATTTTTCTTGGTGAGAAATCCCAGCTGGTGGCCACTAACAGGAGCACCACTGTATTCAGCTTAAGTTCATCCCCCAAATTTCAGGGCAGACAAAAAAAGTGCTCCCTCACACAGTGCATATTGAGGTAACTTTTGTACAGTAGGCTACACTCCAAGCACACACAATCCCCAACACACACAGCCATCTCTCCACCGCCCGTCAGACAAATAAGAGGCATTGTCGCCATTCCAGCCAGACAAAGGCACTTGGAAGAGAGTGTGGAGGACCAGTGGGAAGGAGGTGCCCTGGAGAGAAGGAAGTGAGGCCTGGGTCTGGGTCAAACGGGCCATAGAGAGATGCTGGGGAGGGTGGCACATCTGGTCCCCGGGACTGAGGCTGTCCGCCTCTAGTTTAAACATTATAATATTTAAACCGTTTGATTTTACTGACTGCATTGGAAACCGCTTTGCGGCCTCTTCGTGATGAAAAGTGTGATATAACTGTTGAACATAAACACATGAGTGCTGTGGAATTCTAGCTGCACAACACGTGTTCCTCTGAATGGGACATAAAGAGGAATTCAACCAAAGGTCCATTGGTGAACGTGGAAAAATCAGATCCAGTGGGCAGAATTGGATAAACTAACTGGAAGAATTCGAAACCTGCGGGACCAATGATTCACAGAAGACTGGTGTAAATTTACGGACTATTTGAAAAGTAATTGTGATGACCAGACTACGTTTGTAGGTTTGCAAGAAGTTTTGTGAGGTAAACTATTTGAATTATTGCAAAAATGGTTAAAGAGGTGGATTGTGAGTTAAGATAAAGGCAATAGGAATTTAAGAAATGCAGAAGAAATTATAAAAATGGTGGATCATCAGAGGTGCTGATGGAAGTCCAAAAAGATTGTATAAGATGTGAAGTTCTGTGGAATGTATAATAATTGGTATGTTGAAATTTTATATATATATATATATATATATATATATATATATATATATATATATCAGATCCAGGGGGCTAGGAACCCTCTGGAGCAGATTTTGAGGGTTCATAAAAGGGATGAAAGAAGAGAAACCAGAATTGCTGTTGCGCAAGTAGATTTCCATTGCACAAGCTGGTGGACGTCAGTGGGTGTTGTGCCATTTCTCTGGAGGTTGCATGGCCAAATCAATTTATCAGGTTGACTTTACCTGTGTTAGTCAAACAAATCCACTGTTGTTTTATAAATTGCGGAGCTTTTAACTGATTGCCACATATAGTGAAAGATTATCTGGTTCCCCTTTGATGCATATCAATCAACATATCCCTATTGATGCTGACTTGTGCTGGTGAAGTAAATTGTCTCGCAGAGCGTTTAGTTGTCACGTACAATGCTTCCCTCCCCTTTTTCTTTTACACATAACTGCTTATCAGGCTAAATGTGCACTCAATAATGAATTGTGTTTATAGAGAGATAACCGTCACACTGTTTGTTCAAGGGGTATCATCAAGGATCTGGCTAGGTTTTGCCGACAGATGCACCTCTTGCTTGTCAGTCATAACAAGTATCCTTTGCAGCTTTGCATTTTTATCTAGTCAGCAAAAGAAATCATGTTGCTGCAGCTCCGGATCAATATTAAATACACCAACAGAATCTCTAGCTGAGTATCTCTTGGTGGGGAAAGTCTGGAAGATTAGGGGAAGAGATAACAATTTTGCATTGAGCTCTCAGCAGAAAGACGGGATTAAAAAAAGAATTTAACAAAAAAAATTGATACTATTTCCTCTCTCTCTCTCTTTTTAAAGTGGCAACAATAACAGTACAAATGAAACACCATTACAAGCCACAACAGTTTTGAATTCATGTTGCTGAATATATTGACTTTTACAGCCTATTCTCCCGTGATACGCTGCAAAATGAAACTGAAACTTGATGGGCCAACTGTACTCCATTAAAAAATTTTTTTAGAGGATCACATTCCCCTCCCCCAATGGATCTGATAGAAATGAATAGTTCCAAAAACCACAGTTCTAACCCCCCACTCCACCAACCATCCCAACATGCACACATTAAACCTTAATGTTTAAGGTCAATCCAAAGTCAACATTAAAAAAAAAAAATCCTTGCCCAAGATTATGAATGATGCAAAAATTTATGGAGCGTACAATTTATTACCATGCTAATGGAGGCCTTTGTTTATATCCTGCAACATATGCTCAGAATCACTAGGAAATGGCTATGTTTTTAAAGAATAGAGTGAGAAGCAATTAGAGGCATTAGGTTTAATTATTGTGGAAAACCTTTGCAATGCATGCACACGTGTGTGTGTGTGTGTGTGTGTGTGTGTGGTGCTTGTGTATTCACGCATGTGTGCCTTGTTTAAGATATTCAGTTTAGCCTTAAGAAGTCAGGATTTCTCATGAGGAAAAGAAAAATCACACTACTTCTGTAGCTGCAGCTATTAGCAATGCTTTATATTTATTACCTGGTATACCACCCAAAATTAATCTCCAGCCTGCTATGCTTCTTGTTACATTTGCTTTCTGCCTAACCGGAACCTGTGTGTTTTACTTAAGGCACAAGACAGATCTATGTCAGTAGCAATCAAGCTTTATGTTTTCAGAAATATCAGTCAGACACTGCATCTTCATCCCAGAATCCTAGGGCAAAAACATGATACTTACAAGTAACTAGTAGAGACTACCCTAGTCAGCATTTAGACTGAGTCTAAATACTGATCTCAAGGCTTCGGCATCCAGCCTATTTTGTATAAATTTTTGTTAGTCCTCCAACACCCCCTCCAAGCCATCAGACTCTGAAGTTAGTGGAACAGGTTAATCTCACAGTTGGGGGGCAGGGAGGTAAAGGACCCCAGATGGTTAAGTCCAGTCAAAGGCGACTATGGGGTGCGCAATCATCTTGTTTTCAGGCCGAGGGAGCTGGTGTTTGTCCACAGACAGCTTTCCAGGTCATGTGGCCAGCATGACTAAACTGCTTCTGGCACAATGGGACACCCAGAGCACACGGAAACGCCGTTTACCTTCCTGCCACAGTAGTATCTATCTACTTGCACTGGTGTGCTTTTGAACTGCAAGGTTGGCAGAAGCTGGGGCAGAGCAATGGGAGCTCACCCAGTTGCGCAGATTTGAACCACCAACCTGCCGATCAGGAAGCCCAAGAGGCTCAGTGGTGAAGACAAACAATACGAACAAATTCTTGTCATAGCTTTATTTTTCTAAACATTGTTAAGTTAGCTTCCCCAAGTCCCACCTATCTGATTTTCATTTTACTTCATCTTTAGCAGTTTACATATATCATAATTTCTAACCCTCTTTTTTTTAATCAAACTTAAAATAACTTCACATTTTATCACTTACAAATAATACTATTTTAAAATACCCTATCTTCTACTTCTCATCCTACAGCCTATATCCACTTCCAAAGCTATTCTAAGGTTTATTTTTTCAAATATTCCTTAAACTTCTTCCAGTCTTCTTCCACCGTCTCTTCTCTCTGGTCTCTCTTTCTGTGTTTTTTATTTGTGTTATAAAATGAATTTTAAAAAATGGGGGGGAGAGGCTCAGTGGTTATACCACAGCACCCCCCACGTCCCTAACTTCAGTAGTGATCCACACCCTTCCTATGAGTTACAGAACCCTGTGCACAAGTCTCTGGAATTACTAATCATTTGAAAAGCATCTCAGAGTACTCACCCTTTTCTGTCCCCTTCTCTCCTTTCTCTCACACGCACCTGCCACAGGAGGACAGATAGCCACCTACTGTAGGAGGGAATTGCAGTTTCACTGCACTGTGAGAAGAATTCTGTACTTCCTTTTGTCTGTTCTGAATCTTCCAGCACTTGGCACCATCGGAGGGCCCTGGGCCCTAGTACTGTTATTAGGAGAGAGGGAGAAAACCTTCATGCACTTTCTGTGCACCATGCATAATGCTATTCAGCTCCATCATGTCTCCCTTACTCACCTTTTCTCTAAAGTAAGAAGGCCCCTATGTTGTAACCTTTGCTCAGAGGAGAGTTGCAGCCTCTTCTTATGTGGGAAAGCAGGCCAGTTGCCTGCTCAGGTACGTGCATCGCTTTTTCCTCCATAGGCGAAACCTAAACCATTCAGGATTTGGCCTGGAAACAAATGTTTTGAAAAACTGCAACAACCTGCAGAATGCGGCATTTGCTTTGGGAGTACACCGAGCTGTAGAAAGCTATATATGAGCCTGAGAGCCCTACGGGGTACTGAAAGGCCCTCCCAGCATGTGGAGCGTGCAAGCAGATGGGTATGCCATGAAATTATGAAGGAGCTGATGACCAGTCTGGACATTCCTGCAAAGGTATGATCAAACCATCTGTTCTGTGTTCATGAGCTTGTTTATTGCTCGTAATTTCGAGAACTATTTTGAAAACTGGATAGATGAAAACGAGCAAAGGAGTGAATCAGCTAACATATTGCTGTAGACACCACAGGACCAATTCTATTGTCTTTGGTTTGGGTGTTTGGGTGTGTGTGAGAGAGTGAGTGAGTGAGAGAGAGAGAGACAGAGACCTTGAAAGGATCACAGGGCTACTTGCGTCTATCGTTGTCATGTAGTGATTGTTTTATTATGAATACTGTACAGTACAGTGGTATCGGGTTACAGACGCTTCAGGTTACAGACTCCGCTAACCCAGAAATAGTACCTCGGGTTAAGAACTTTGCTTCAGGATGAGAACAGGAATCACACTGTGGTGGTGCGGCAGCGGCAGCGGGAGGCCCCATTAGCTGAAGTGGTGCTTCAGGTTAAGAACAGTTTCAGGTTAAGAACGTACCTCCAGAACGAATTAAGTTCTTAACCTGAGGTACCACTGTACTACCATTTGGTTAAACCTGGTGCTATTTACTTAGGAAAGGGATAGGGAACCTAACTCAGCTCAAGGGCCACATTGTCTCAGGAGCAAGCTTTCGGGGGCCACTTGATAGTGGTGGGTGGGGCCAGATGCAAAAGCTGCTGTGGCAGTGCATTTGAGAGCTGACTACATTTCAACAGTGCAAAATCTCCGTTCCTACATACACAAACACACACCTCCACCCTGGAAAGCAAGAGCAATTATTAAAGTTGAAGCAGACATCCTAAGCACTTGAGCAGGGCCAGGGTCAGAGCAGACTTTGGTAATATTTTGTTATATAGCTTCCTGCGCAAGGCCAAAATTTGGTGCCCCCAAATGAATCTTCTCAGTTATGGATTTTCTCAATTTTGATCTCCCTCGGCTCAGCGCCCTGTGCAGAGGAACAACCCTGAATCCTAAACCCAGTGGTGGCCTGAGGAGAGCTTTGAGGGCTAGATAAATATGCCTGAAGGGCTACATTTAGCCCCTGGGCTTGTGGCTTCTCACCCCTGACCAGCTGCATAAGAAGACAGGCCTCCTGCCCATTTTAATGGCTGTGTAGAAGGAAGAATCCAATCAGGTGTAACTTGCCATGCAGATTCCTTCTTTTGCCCGACAATTAAAACATGCAGGAGCCCCGTTTTCTCTTTTGCAGCTGGCCACCCTATATAATTTACCACATGTCACTGGAAGGCCGATTGAAAACTAAAGCTCTCTGAGGGGTGATTCGTATATTGTTCTGAAAGCACGGCATGAATTATTCAAAAGCTCCAACCTGACAGTGTGAGCTTTTCTCCTTTTTTTATGACTGGGTACCAGCTACGTGGCTGTAACATTCCTGAGGAGTAGAACAGTGAGGTACTCAAAGCCCCTCCAGCGGATAAGAAAGGGGTGCATAGACTTCGCATACGCTTCAGGTATTGCTATTTCGGTTGTTAAACAGGCGTCTTTAGGATCACCTTGGCTGTAAATATGTGGCAGAGTGGAGGCAGTTCCTGAGGGTTGTAAACACTCCAGTGAAACTTGGGTAGTTCAGTAGTTCAGGGCTTGCCCAATTTCCCCTCGACCACTTCTCATCAATCAACAAGAAAAGAAATGCCATGTGAAAATTATCAAAGGGGAGAACAAATTCTGAGAACATTCAGCTGAGTTGGGTGCAGGGTTGTGTTTTTTTCATGATTACCTCACATTTGCAAATCGGCTCACCCATGCTCTGCACTCCACAGCCTTCCCAGGTGCCCATCACGAAGGCATTGTGAAATAACTCTCTTTTTTTCAGACCAAGAAGTGTGGGCAGCCAGGGAGGCTGCAGAGAGCTGGAGACATGGTTACTGGAAAGAGACACAAGCAACACTCTTGGATACTTAGGCGACAATAAAGTAAGCTCAGAACCCTGCAGCCAAACAAAATTCTAAAGAAATGATAGGTAAAGGTGAAGGGACCCCTGACCTTTAGGTCCAATCGTGGCCAACTCTGGGGTTGCAGCGCTCATCTCGCTTTATTGGCCGAGGGAGCCGGCGTACAGCTTCCGGGTCATGTGGCCAGCATGACTAAGCCGCTTCTGGTGAAACTAGAGCAGCGCACGGCAACGCCGTTTACCTTCCCGCCAGAGCGGTACCTATTTATCTTCTTGCACTTTGACATGCTTTCGGACTGCTAGGTTGGCAGGAGAAGGGACCGAGCAACGGGAGCTCACCCTGTCGTGGGGATTCGAACTGCCAACCTTCTGATTGGCAAGTCCTAGGCTCTGTGGTTTAACCCACAATGCCACCTGCGTCCCAAAGAAATGATAGGGTGCCCTAAAAATGGTAGCCTCCTTCACTGACTCTTCTGCACATACTTTTTTAAAAAAGAAAGCTACATGTGGAAGGGCAGCGCCATGCAGCCTAGCCCCACACATTGCCAACAGTCCCAGTCTCTCCTGACATTGGCATGTTCAACGAATGGTGGAATTAGTTATCTGCTTATGCAGATGTATGCAGGTAGAGACTATACCCAATCCTGTGTGTGTGGATAGAAAATCTACCCAATCAGGGTCCTGGTGTGGGCTACCCATGCAGTGGTGGTAGGCGGGACTAGACTAAATGGCTCTGCAATCCTTCCGCTCTACATGTTTTCAGCATGGGGAGGTATTCATGAGAGTTATTCTCTAGTGCACTGCATGAACTCTGCTCCTAGTCCAGGACTTTGACCTGTACAACTATGCCGGCTCTTAATGCCCACAAACAGCTGCTCCCTCCCACTGTAGTTAATGGGAAGGCCCACTGAGCTCTGTGCAACCGAGGTGATGAAACAGAGCCATGGTCTGGTAGAAAATCACATTCTGCTAATTCATGCACATCACACAGGGGAGGGGGTGGTGCAGAGACCCAGTCTGAGTCCCTTTCTAAGGGCAAATGTTTCTCTTGCCTGAACATTTCTCAGGTATGCGCACCCATGTTTCTCACTGGTTGTTTTCTGCACTCAGCATTCTGTCCTAGAAACTCTGAGTTTATTAGACATCCATTACAATTGACACATTGTTGCAGCGAGGGGTGAATAGATGCATTAGACAGATGATCTTAATTGGCTTTCATCCAAGAGAAATTAAAAAAGAAGAGAGAGAAAGGGAGACAGCTGAATTTGATTCACATTTTCAATTAGTAAAACTTTCTTTCATTATTATAATGCCTGCTCAAATAGCAGCCACATCATGGTGACAAATCCCGTTATCATGCTTTCTTTAATTGTCTTCCAAAAAGGCTTCTATTGAAAGCTTTGTCTGGACTTGTGTATAATGCTGACAATCAAGTTCCGTTCAAAGAGATGGGGAGGGGGAGTGTAGCGGCTCTGACTGAGGCACGTTATAATAACACATTTTTTCCCTTGCTGGTGGTTCTTCAGTGTGCGATTCTTGTTTTAGGTCACCATGCTATGATGACAGACGATGTGTGCTAACAAGATCAGTCACCAAGCATTAGTGGGATTCTGATGCTTCCCACTTATTTCAAGCTTTTGGGGTTTTTTTGTTTTTTTAAAAATTGATCCTCTGCAGGTGTTGTTTGCTTGCAACATTATTACACAGCAAACGTGGTTCCTTTTTTTCCTTTAAGCAGCTAAACTCATGCAGCAAGCAACCAGTTCATCTAAAGATGAATTCTAAAAGGAATTATTTATTTTTCTAAACATTGTTAAGTGGGCTTCCCCAAGTCCCCCCATCTGATTTTCATTTTACTTCATCTTTAGCAGTTTACATATATCATAATTTCTAACCATCTTTTTTTTTATCGCACTTAAAATAACTTCACATTTTATCACTTACAAATAACTATTTTAAAATACCCTATCTTCTACTTCTAACCCTACAGCCTATATCCACTTCCAAAGCTATTCTAAGATTTAAATATTAACATATTTTTTCAAATATTCCTTAAACTTCTTCCAGTCTTCTTCCACCAACTTTTCTCTCTGGTCTAGGAGTCTCCCAGTCAGTTCGGCAAGTTCCATATAGTCCATCATCTTCATCTGCCATTCTTCGATAGTTGGTAGATCTTGTTTCTTCAAATTCTTCGCCCCTCCATCCCTTTGGCTGTGGCTAAGCAGAACAAAGCAAAAAATAGTCTCTTACCATTTAAAGAGATTTTAATGATCACAGAGAAAGAACAAAAGAGTCCATTCTCAGAGTAAAGGTGCTCCCAGTTAAGGTTTCCACCCACTCATAGAATCATAGAGTTGGAAGAGACCACAAGGGCCATCGAGTCCAACCCCCTGCCAAGCAGGAAACACCATCAGAGCACTCCTGACATCTGGTTGTCAAGCCTCTGCTTAAAGACCTCCAAAGAAGGAGACTCCACCACACTCCTTGGCAGCAAATTCCACTCCTTGGCAGCAAATTCCAGCTCTTACTGTCAGGAAGTTCTTCCTAATGTGTAGGTGGAATCTTCTTTCTTGTAGTTTGGATCCATTGCTCTGTGTCCGCTTCTCTGGAGCAGCAGAAAACAACCTTTCTCCCTCCTCTATGTGACATCCTTTTATATATTTGAACATGGCTATCATATCACCCCTTAACCTCCTCTTCTCCAGGCTAAACATGCCCAGCTCCCTTAGCCGTTCCTCATTTCCAGGCCTTTGACCATTTGGGTTGCCCTCCTCTGGACACGTTCCAGTTTGTCAGTGTCCTTCTTGAACTGTGGTGCCCAGAACTGGACACAGTACTCCAGGTGAGGTCTGACCAGAGCAGAATACAGTGGCACTCCCCCCCCCCGAGTCACCCAAGTCACTTCCTCGTCTTGCAACCTGGTCTTGCAACCACTGTGCCTTCTGTGCAGCTACCTTATCTAATCTCCCTGACTTTATCTAATCTCTGTGACCTTGGACTGATTGGCTGGACACTTTCCAGCAAACCAGAGTCTGTTAACTCTCTCCTGGTTCTTCTCCTCCTAGCTGTTCACCACCCAGTTCTTCCCAACTTTTGTCTTCTGAACTATGTCCCTCAGCGAACCACTGTTCCAAATCTATACTGTTCCACTGCTCCTGGGAAGATTCAGGATCCTGATCAGGAGCAGAGGGAGGGGGAGGCTCCCACCATTCCTCATCTGTGCAGCCCTCCTCAACATGGTCCCTGACATCCTGCTACTGTGGTGCAACTCCACAAAACAGGGTGTCATGCTGGCCTGCATGGAAAGCAGGTAAAGTGGTGTTGGGTGTGTGGGATTGTTTCCCTAGCATTACTTTGCTTGCAGTAGTTGGGTTGGTTGTAGTAGAGAGGTGGAGCTAACATGATGCAAAACAAGTCATCTTAGGAAGCTGAACAAGAGATGGAACAAAACCGTAGTGCTGGGATGGTGCCGATCACTTTACCTCCTTTGGGGGGGGGGGGAGAGACTATCTACAAAAAATTTGAAAATAGAAATTCTCACTTCAGAAATGAAGCCCATGTTCATTTCTATTTTCTGTTTCTTCATAGGCTTCACATTTCATTTTAATTTCTCTTCTTCCTCTCACATGCATTTCCAAATGTCACACACACCACGGTCCTCTGGGCAAGCTGAGTGCTAGTTCCCCATGCCCCCAAACGCCACCTGTTTACTTCTGCACCTTTCTGCCCATCTGTCTCATAAGGATTAATTAAAACATTTTTTTTACAAAAACTGATGATGCCTTGGCTCCAGAAAAGCTAGACAACATAACTCTTGGTCATGTTGGAAAAATGTTTTTTTCCCTATTTGGAAAACAATATAGAACATGAAAGAAAGAGGGAGAGTCATCTTTACAGTGCTACACATAAAGCACACAATCGTGCAGAAGTCAGCCATAAATTAAGATCCATTGAAAATAGTGGAGCAGAAATGAGCAGCCTGATCCTTTGCATGCTCACTCAGAAGTGAGTGCCTTGGGACATACTCCCAAGTAAGTGTACATAACAGAAGCCTGAAATCTCAGGCATACTTACTAGGAAGTAGCAATGCAATAATATACACATCTACTCAAAAGTAAGTCCCATTGAGTTTAACATGTCTTGCTCCCAGGTAAGGGGGAAACCCCACTTTCCTGGGAGTAAGCCCCATTGAATTCAATATGATTTACATCTGAGTAGATATGGTTAGGACTGCAGGCACAGCCGTGTGTGACGTTAAGTCCCATATATTCCAAAGGGACTTAGTTGTGACTTTTTGTGTTCTTGTTCCTGTTTTCTTTAACAGGCCCAGAGTGCTGCTATAATCAAAAGAACCAATGGCTTCAAGTTACAAGAAAGGAGAGTCCGAATAAACACCAGCAGTAACTTTATGGCAGTAAGAGTTGTTCAACAGTGGAACAAACTCCCACAAGAGGTGGTGGACTCTCCTTCCTTGGAGGTTTTTAAGCAGAGGTTGGTTGGCCATCTGTCATGGATGCTTCAGCTGAGATTCCTGCATTGCAGGAGGTTGGACTAGATAATCCTCAGGGTCCCTTCTAACTCTACAATTCTATGATTCTATGGAGGTGAGACACGCACAGGAGCCCTGAGAGATCAAAATGTTGGCAACTCGAGAAGATAGAGTGAACCTAGCTTCTGTGTCTCCAACTGGTGCTGCCTGCCCCAACTTCCCCTGAAGTCCCTCCTTCAGTTGCTCCCTCCCTCCCCCCCCCACCAGTAACTGCCTCATTCCCCTCAGCCACCATGTCTGTTTATGACATCACAAGGAGTCCATAGCCAATGGCAGCAGCTGGGGAATCATCGACACAGCTTCCATTATCTATCCTAGGATGGGTGGAAGGCACAGCCAAACACTGCTTAGATTTATTTAGAAAGGCATTTATTTAGAAATAAAAAGAAGCTTGCTTAAGCCCTGAAATTATCTTCATTACCTTCACAAGTGGTCTTGGGAAAGATCTCACCAGCTTCAGACATCCCTGAAAGGCAAACCCAGGAATGCTAACGGGGATGGCTACCATCCGACATCATCACACAGGCACCTCCACTGGCTTCTGTATGGCAACTTGATCCCTGACATCAGCTTCCACCCATGAATTCACGAGTTCATCCATTCCCCATGACTGGAGGGCGACTTCCACCACAACCTTAAAGCATAATTCCCAGGCACACTGTGTCTGGAGGGTGATCTGTGCATCCAGACACAACATTTGCATCAACCACATTTGAAACCTCCTGTGGCGATCACACAGGGTCCCCAGACATTTAACGGTCTATTGATCCCTGTGCCACCACTGTGCTTGCTTCCCCGCTGCCACCAACCTGTTACTCTCTGGTAAAACGCTGAGTCCAGACAGTTGTTAAAAGTGAACCAAAAAAAAAGTTTATTTTACAAACATTAACAAGTTTATGGTTTCTCTGATAATATTCCTGTCAGTATCTTAACTTTAGTTTCTTTACTGGCCTATACCTTCCTAATAAGGGACGAGGGTGGCGCGAGGGACGCGGGTGGCATAAGGGACACGGGTGGCGCTGTGGATTAAACCACTGAGCTTAGGGATTGCCAATAAGAAGGTCGGCAGTTCGAATTTCCGTGACGGGGTGAGCTCCCGTTGCTCGGTCCCTGCTCCTGCCAACCTAGCAGTTCGAAAGCACGAAGTGCAAGTAGATAAATAGGTACCGCTCCGGCGGGATGGTAAACGGCGTTTCCATGTGCTGCTCTGGTTCACCAGAAGCGGCTTAGTCATGCTGGCCACATGACCCGGAAGCTGTACGCCGGTTCCCTCAGCCAATAAAGCGAGATGAGCGCCGCAACCCCAGAGTCAGCCATGACTGGACCTAATGGTCAGGGGTCCCTTTACCTTTACCTTCCTAATACCTTCTGACTGATTATCTCAACTGTTTGACTGACTCCTCTTAACAAATTCTCTCACTCTCTCACACCAGACTAGCCCAACCCACAGACTTATCTTCTCTGTCTCTTCTAACTCCAGACTGTCTTCCCAACCACCCTAACTCTAACTCTAACTCCAACTCCTCCAAAAACCCTCTGTGCTTAAACCTTATACACAGTTAACTCTGCCCCTTGGGTTCCCATTGGTTAGTCATTTTACAATTAGTTAACCCTTTCCTTATGAACCCAGTATGATGTCACACACCTAGGAGGGCAAACGTCACACCTCCCATTCAGACACACCCACTTATCAGCCAGTCTCCACTCACACACATGCAACACACCAGCTTCAATCCACAAATATGCATGCAGCTTCTGTAGAGTGGGCTTACCTGTATACAAAGGTGAATTTCAACCAGCTTACCTCCATCACGACCCTGAGATTAAAAGAGTCCCATGCTGTACCGACTCGGAATGCTTTCAGCCTTTCAGCATCCAAATGCAAACTCCACTGGCTTCCGCTCACCAGCATCAGCCAGCTTCCACCAGGTCCATCACCTGACATCAGCCAGGTTCCAACTGTGGATAACATCTGCCTTCAAGCTGTGATCCTAAGCCAGCAAGCAAACTTGCCTTCTCATTACTCCACAGCATCTCACTGCCAAATGATCACCTTATTCCATGTGCCAGTTCACCCTCCATGTGGAAGACCACCACCCAGTACTGAATGCCACAGCTGTTGACCTCTGTGAAGGAAAAAGTCTTTGCCCACCTTTATATCCACTCAGCAGCCAAGTACTTTTGTGACATCACAGACAGTCTACAGCCAATGGCAGCAGCTTGGGGGAGGTTGTGTATCATCATAATCTCCTTAGACCTCACAATGGTGAGTTCAGCTCAGAAGTGATTTGCTCCTTTGCTTCTTTCTTATTAAAAACATGTATAGCCCAACCCTAATAAGCACTGGTGCCAGGCAATGGCCCTTCATTAACCCAGGGGGTGGGAGGACATTTTTCAGCCTAATGGCTGCATTCCCTTACAGGCAATACTCTGAAGACCATGTGTCAGTGGTCAGAGGATGGCAGAGGTAAAACAGGAGCAGAGCAGTAAATATGACTCTTGTCTTTGTACTGGAGGCCCATTCGAGAGGTTTCTACACCACCCAGTCTCTCCGTCCAATTAAAAAAAAATCCCAGTTGAAGGTAACATCCCAACCAGGCAAAAGTGTTTGAGGATGGTGGAGAACATGGCTGGAGATGGGCTTAGCCTGGGGAAAGTCATCAGAGCCAGGTAGAGTGGCTTGGGGAGCTGCTTTTGGCCCACAGGCTAGAGATTACACACCCTGGTCATAAGATAAATGATTAAAAAGAGTGTTCCCAACATTAGTCATACTCAGAGTAGAGCCATGGACTGAGACAGAGGGGGAGATAGCTAACAGGCCATGCCAACCCCCTGGACCAGTTGAAAGACGGCAAACAGGTGAGGGACTGGCTAAGTAAAAACTGAGTTTGGTGGAGCAGAGCCCCCATTTGCCCTACTACACCAGCCTCCACTGAACTGGATAAATGACTTTTCACAGGTGCAAGAGCCTGGTGGATCAGGACCTTGCTGAGGAATAGGGAGCCTTGGATTGGAGCCAATGTGTACCAGCTATTCCATTGAGAGAGAAAAGCTTCCATTGGTGCAATTGGGAGTTTTTCTTCTAATACAAATGACAGGCACGAGAGTCCACAATCTGGGTCAACACCCTAGCAAGGAGTAGGGAACCCCACACCCTCCCCTGCTTTATGCAGCAGAAGAAAAGCTTCCATTGGCAAAACTGTGAGCTTTTCAGGGAGGTTTGTCTGGCACCTTCATTATATATATTTTAGGTGCCAAGCGAAAACGGTTCCTCTTCAACGAGGCCTTGGGCTGATTAACATTCTACAGTCTTTTAGATGTGTTTGTGGGAGGGCGGGTGTTTGTTTTGTTGTTTCTGTTTTAACTATTTATTTGAGCTTTTTTTTGTTGTATTTTCATCTTGTGAACCACTCTAAGATAAGGTCACCAGATTTTTTTCAATGAATCCGGGGACACTTTTCAACTTCCTACTAAATAGATGGATTTTGACAGGGGACTGATTTGTAAATCTAGGGACTGTCCCCGGGAAACAGAGACATCTGATAACCTTTTGATGAAGGGTGGTATATAAATCTAATAATAAAATAACTTCCTTCAAATATAGAAAACAGGCACCGGACCTCCGATCCAGATCAGGACTGGAGCACGTGTGTGTGCGCACACACACACACACACACCAGGGGCCCGGTTGAGATAAAGATCCCCACATTTACTCATTACTTTTTCAAGGTCATTTGTCTAATTTCAAGTGGTATGTTATCTGATTTGGCCTTTGGCCCATCAGTCCTTGGTCCATTGGTTTCTCCAATCTGCTTTTTGTAGCTGAAAAAGATGCTATGTAGCTTTTCAAACTTAGATCACATTTCCATTACTAACAATACAATCTGCTTATGACATGGTTCGGGTTCTTCCATATGCCCCGTGGGGATAAATCCCTCTGCAGTATTCCCAACCCAGTTCTAGAGAAATTAATCTCTCCAGCAATATTTCTCATTTGAAATATTCTCATTTGAAATATAGAGGCATTTCCTCGGGCCCGTTAATCATGCTTGCGGAATATAATGCACTAGGGGTCTCCGTTTTACTGCCATGTTTGAGTAAAGAGACAATAACCATGAACATAATTTTGGTTATTAGTTCCAATAAACCAATAATCTTCACTGTTCATTAAAAGTAAGAGAGATGTGAGCCAAGATGAAGTGAAATTGCTCAGTATCTGCTAGCAGGGATTGTTTTGCATTCAGGGCGCTTTCTCATATGCATTTCATAGAGGAGCTGATTTGAGTTGTGCTTTAAATACGTTACCAGAAATAAGAGCTTCCAATGTACGTTTGGATCCATTTTGAGAAACAACATGTACCCTGAGATATTGTGAAGTTTGGCGTGGCAAGAGAATGGACAATGCTGCCCTTTTTCATTCATTTCTACATCCTTGACAGGTGGGAATTGGAGCATTTGGAATGCAATTTATTCAGTGGCCTCACCTGTCTGTTTGCTCTTCATTCCATCCCTGTGAGAGTCTTCATGTACAGATATCTCCCCACATACACGGGGGTCACATTCCCGGGTACCGCGTGTATATGTGAAATTGCATACACCATATAAGAAACCTGTAAGCACCCTCTAAACCTCTGGAAACCCTTGAAAACCCCTTTTATAAACCAGCAGCACTTAGAAGACTCCACTACAATCACTCCCTCCAAACCTCCTTTCTTGAACTGCAACTCCTCAAAAGTCGGTGCAAAGGCTCCTAGAATTGCAGTTGCAAAGGCTTCTGGGATTGCTAGCCATTTCCCCACTCTTTTCATGCCATTTTTGCTGTTTTCCTGCTCTTTTTGGGCCATTGTTTGCCCTTTTCACACCTTCTTGCAGATTAAATCGATTTATTTAATCCTTTCCCGGTGCCGCAAATATACTCGGTCACACACGAGTCAAATGCACTTAACTGGGGAGGCACCTGTAGTTGCAGGATGTCCAAATATGCACCATACATTTTAAAACATGTTTACACTACTTTAATGGTCATGGCTTCCTTCAAAGAATCCGGGGAAACAGAGTTTGTTAATGGTGCTGAGCGTTGTTAGGAGACCCCATTCCTCTCAAAGAGCTACAATTCCCTTTGTGGTTTAACCACTCCTTCTTTGCAAGGAACTCTGGGAATGGTAGCTCTGGGAGGGGCATCAGTACTTTTTACCCCTTTCTCATACTCCAAGGACTCAGCTACATTAGTCAAAAAACAGTGTTTTGAATGCGTTATAAACATGCAAAACCAGACGGCGCTGGAGGGGGGAGAAATTCTATGCAATTTTCCATAGCGTTTTTTTCCCTCCTTTCGCAGTAACGATTTAATTTTTGACTTATTTATAGCATTTTTCCGCCTGTGTGTAGATCTACCCTAAGCCAGCCTCCCACTTCCTGGTGCCCTCCAGATCTTTTGGACTACAAATTTCACCATCCCTGAATATTAGATATGGCTGCTAGAGTTGATGGAATTTGTAGGCCAAAACCTCTGAAGGGCACCAGGTTGTGGGAAGGCTGTTATTGTTCATTATTCATCTTTATCCTCTTAGCAAGCTAAAAGAGACCCTGCGAGATCGACGAAAGAGGGGATCTACAGGTACCGTAGTCATTTTATTGAAGCAGAGATGAAAAGATGATGGTCTACAGATTTTTGTATTAGTCTGGCTATGGGGGTGATAGAGCTTTAAATCAAAGGATTAGGGCCGATAATATTGTTGGGACTGTCTGGCCTTCCAACCTTGTAGCTCTATGGTTAGTCAGCTTCCACCACTGCAGCCAGACACATCTATCCACAACATGATTGCTTTCTTGACACTTTGTACAGAATGCACATTGCATGAAATTCCTCCTGGCTTAGGACTCTCTTCAGAGATGTAAAAGTAACCAAGGAGATAATTCTGTAGTCTTGCCTTAAAGGCACAGAGAAAAATCGTCAGAAGAACCATCATAGCATTTCGGCTTTCTGGCCATTATGCCCAAGGCAATAAATTTCTCCTCTACCTTATAAAATAGGAAAGGTGGCTTTTAGAAAGTAATGTGTCATGCTGTATATTACATGAAATAAAATATCCTTGCCCAGTGCACAGAGAGTATTCAGCAGATGCGATAAAATACATCTCCAAGCCTGTTGGGATAAACATATAAGCAACATTGCTTTATTTATGTCTCAGCTCAAAAAGTCAGTTTTGTGCTTCATTTGTGGGAAGTGCTAGAAATCAAAATAAAAAATAAAAGCTTTAGACTTCTGTTCTACACATTTGTATGTCACAGGGACTTACTTCTGAGTAGACAGGTACAGGATTGCACTGTTAAGAAGTCACTTCAAAGCAAATGTAGAAGACAACATAGCATTTTTCTTTTTCTCATCTTCAAAAGGAATCTCCTTTTCAGTTTAAACTTGCTGGCATAGAATCATATTATGGTAGAGTTGAAAGGGACCCAGAGGGTCATCCAGTCCAACTCCCTGTGATTCAGGAATCTCAGCTAAAGCACCCATGACAGGTGGTCATCCAATCTCTGCTGAAAAACCTCCAAGGAAGGAGGGTCCACAATCTCCCAAGGGATTCCATTCCACCATTGAATAGCTCTTATCATCAGAAACTTCTTCCTTATGCTTTGCAAACTGCTTAGATGTCTATTTTTGCATTCGATAATAAACCTATAAATAAAATAGCAGCTACTGATGAATAATACGAGTGACTTTCAGAAGGCTACTTAAAGTGGGGCAGCCGTTCCTTATTCTCAGTTCATAAACCTTATTGAATGGCACTTTCAGCCTTTGTTAAGGGCAGCTTTGACAAAAGCAAAGAGGTGAAGGAAAGAGCTTCGTTCAGGCCCTGAGGCACCCTGGGTGCCCCATCCCTCTGCCTCTTTTCCCACAATGCACCTTCCCATCTCCACACACGGCTCTCCTTTTGGCTTCAGGGAGGGTTCTGATGTCTACATTTCAGAGAGCTGAAAATAATGCCAATATATTTCATATCTGGCAAGCAATGAGCCCCTGTGGTTTCAGATAGTACATAGGTTGTTGTTGTTTAGTCGTCTGAGTCGTGTTCGACTCTCTGTGACCCCAGGAACCAGAGCATGCCTTGGAAACTCACTTTCTTCTCAAAGCTTCTCCTTTTTTTTATGTCCATGGAGTTTTCTTAGCAAAATACTGGAGTGGTTTGCCAGTTCCTTCTCCAGGTTGATCACATTTAGTCTAAACTCTTCGCTATGACCTGTCTGTCTTGGGTGGCCCTGCATGGCATAGCTCATAGCTTCAAGCTCCTTTGCCATGACAAGGTAGTGATCCATGAGGGGAGTACATGGGTAGACAAGTCCAAAAAGCCTGGGACACAAATTTTTAGTGGACATATTGACTCATTTACCAGAAGTAATGTATGGAAGTGTATACTCGAATCTGTCCAAACTAAGCCTCCTATAAGCTTTCCGCCAATATCAATATAAGTAGTTTATAGTCACTATGCAGCAAGGAGATAGGTTCATATTTGTTTACTAGAGTCACATCTGGAGCAATCCTAACCATGTCTACTCAGAAGCAAGTCCTATTTAATTTCTCAGGTAGATGTAAATAGGATTACAGCCTCAGTTCTTCCTTGATTTTTCATCACTAGACATCTCGCTTGGCTTCCAGATAATTCTGTTAAGTTTTCCACCAGTCAAGATGCAGTTTTTCTGCATTTCAAGCCAAGGAAAACAGCTGGGCTTATAAATATTAACAAGGACTGCCTTACTGAAGCAAACTTTGTTCTCAAAATAGAGGACATAATTTTGGCCACAGGGTCTCTCTCCCTCTCTTACTGTGTCCAAGAGCAAAGTGTGTTCAGTTGCTTGTGATGCTGTATATTTGAAATCTCTAAGGAGATCACTGACTGACAGATGTTTTTATTTCTTATTGATTTTTTTTTCTATTCTGTTAACTGCTGGTAAAATTCCCATGAAGAGCCTGATACAAAACCTGCTGCTATCAGCATAAATTCTTTAATTTTCTTGGATCAGCTCATAAACTGATGGCTGAGATTTGCACCTCATGAATGTTTTCAGCAAGAATGGTGTATTTCATAGCCCTCACTTGTTGACCCACCAAGCTCAGAAGGAAACAGTGTCTGTGTACACTCTCTATATCTAAAACACATTTCACCCCAAAGAATCATGGGAACTGTAGTTTCTTAAGGGTGCTAGGTATTGTAACTGTGAGGCGAAAACTACAATTCCCAGGATTCTTGGAGGTGGGGGTGGTGCTTTAGATATACAGTATACCCAGAAATTAGAACAATACATTTGTAAAGATGGAGATAGTTGCTGAGAACTAAATCAAGCAGTCACTCTCGGAGCCAACCAATGAAGCAGACTGCAAACGGAGATTTCCAGCAGCTTCACAAGAAAGTGTAAGAAAATGCTCTCAGACCCTCCTAGTGTCTCTGTTTTTAAGGGACAGCTCCAGATTTACAGAACCTAGCAGTTCGAAAGCACCCCTGAGTGCAAGTAGATAAATAGGGACCGCTTACCAGCGGGAAGGTAAACGGCGTTCCGTGTGCTGCGCTGGCTCGCCAGATGCAGCTTGTCACGTTGGCCACGTGACCCGGAAGTGTCTCCGGACAGCGCTGGCTCCCGGCCTATAGAGTGAGATGAGCGCACAACCCTAGAGTCTGGCAAGACTGGCCCGTACGGGCAGGGGTACCTTTACCTTTACCTTTACCTTACCAGATTTACAGAAGTCATTCCAGTTTCTGATTTGATCCCAGAACATCCCACTTTTCATTAGGACGTACCAATTTCATCAGAGAAATGTTGGAGGGTATGGAGTTGTGCAGCCCTTGAGCCAAGGAGTTAAGTAACTATACAGTGGTGCCTCGCAAGACGAAATTAATTCGTTCTGCGAGTTTTTTCGTCTTGCGAATTTTTCGTCTTGCGAAGCACGGTTTCCCATAGGAATGCATTGAAAATCATTGCAATCAAGAAAGCTTCAAAATTTATTTAGAAAAGTATTGTAAAATTAATGAGTATTAGAAAAATGTTGGAATGAAATTATTTGGCTTTAGCAGAAATGTCAAAAAGAATTATGAAAGAATATGTTATGGTTAAAAGAATTTGGGATATATAAGTTTTAAGTTTTAAGTTTTAAGTTTTAAGTTTTAGGGTTTTCTAGGTAAGATAAGGTTAAAATAGATTAAGGGAATTTAAATGACAGAATATTGTGAAAGATGGAAAGGATTTGCTGAGATAATTAACAACTAGAATACAAAAAAGGGAGGTATGAGGAGGTCGTTGAAATAAGTTAATGAAAGTTAAGGATTTGGGAATGTTAGACTTGTTTTTTAATTGTTTGTTTATTTTTGTTTTTTGATTTAGATGTATTGTGTGTTTTGTTATTTATTTATTTTTTTGACTTTGGTTTTAATGATCTGTATTGTTTAATTGTTATGTTTATCTACTTCTTTCTCTCTTTTTCTCCCTCTCTTGTCTTTTCTTTCTTCTTTCTTTGTAATTTTAAAATTCTCAATAAACATCATTTTTTAAAAAAAAAGAAAATCATTGCAATCAAAACAAACTTGCAAGACGTTTTCGTTTTTCGTCTTGCGAAGCAAGCCCATAGGGAAATTCGTCTTGTGAAGCAACTCAAAAAACAAAAAAACTCTTTCGTCTTGCGAGTTTTTCGTCTTGCGAGGCATTCATCTTGCGAGGTACCACTGTACAACCTTTAGAAGACATCTGAAGGTAGCCCTGTATAGGGAAGGGGGTTTTTTAATGTTTAATATTTTATTATGTTTTTATATATGTTAGAAGCTGCCCAGAATGGCTAGGGCAACCCAGTCAGATGGGCGGGGTATTATTACTACTACTACTATTATTATTATTATTATTATTATTATCATCATCATCATCATCATCATCACCATCATCATTAAATAGGATGTCCCTATTTTCATCGGAGAAATGTTGGCGGGTATGTGCTCTGGGACAGTAGTGCTGGTGAAAGGTGAGATGGGAGATTCAAAATGGGGAAACTGAGGCAGTCTTCTAGATGTCTGCGAAAATTGCCTCATGATCATCCTATTTAACACTTCTCTGGATACCCTTTGTGCAGTTTCATTGAGATTTTCGAGGTGGGTAGTTTTGATCCCATCTTGAACTTTCCAGAAGAACATATTCCTAGTTTTATGGGGGGGATGCCTGTGAGGCACAGTTAAACCTCTGCCTTCACAATCTGCATTCTCAAGAGATGCATTTAGTGTAACTCAGATACCTTCAAAAGCACCAGAGAATGTGGGAAATAAAAGGGGGGAAAGCTGCGTCGTAGTCGCAATAAAGAGAACAGCATATGTGGTTTTAACTGAATTTGTCTGGAGTCCAATTAAGCGATAAGACACTATAGGGTGTGTCGTATTACTAAGCCATTAATGCAAGCCTCTGGAGAACTGTGAGCATAAGGCCAAAAAGAGGAGCCTTAATGGCCCAGAAATGCATGCCTTGTCATGTCCCATTGTTATTACAACAGGAACTACTCACCCTTTTAAAAAAAGTCAATAGGAAAGTCTGTAAACTAACTTACGAGGAATTCAAACACATCGCTATGCGGGTGATTAACTTGTTCCTTCTCCCGTCCCCCCAAGTAGGGTCCCTAACCAGCTGGACAAGGGAAGGAAATAATCATTGCTGGAGTAATCCCTTAAATAAGAATAAACTAGGTGCCGAAAGCCACCGCTGCAGCTGATTGAGAGCGCTGCCACTGGCTCACCAAGAACCCAGAAGCCTCTGAGCTTCGGGAAACAATGTCAACAGCAGGCAAATGGACCTTGTACTGCTATCTGCAGGGAGATGTGCGCGCAATGAAAATCACCGTCGCTGCCAGCTGCCTGGGACCCTGGAGCCCAGAGGGCATGTAGCAGGCAGGGCCGTCAGCAGCTGCTAGCGGAGCGGCTCAGGATGGAGAGGAGGGGGCAATTCATGTAACACATTGCTGCATCTTCCCAGTCTGTGCACGTTTAACATCTTGCCAGCACTAGGCAAATACTTACTATATCTATCTATCTATCATCTATCTGTCTATCATCTATCTATCATCTATCTATCATCTATCTATCATCTATCTATCTATCTATCTATCTATCTATCTAATCTTCTCCAAGGACTCTTAAGATAATTCAATAGTTTAACTATTGTGTGAAGAAGAGCTTTCTTTTCTCTCTCTTGACTCCAGCATTAAGCTTCAATAGATGTTCATGCGTTCTAGTCTTACGAGAGAGGAAGGAAAACTTTTCACTATCCGCTTTCTCAATGCACTTCTATCGTGTTTTATGAACTTCTATCGTGTCCCCTCTTACTTGCCTTTTCTCTGAAGTAACGAGTGCCTGGAGAATCTATATTATGACATCTATGAGTTGGACTAATAAATGTCAATACGTAATCAGTTTCAGGCAGCAGAACGTCTTGGGTCAGCCCAGCAATTAGATTGAAAACTATTTAAGGCATCCTGAAAAGATGAAGGCAGCGACAAATAACATGAGTGATATCACTAGGGACAGGTACCAGAGAACACCAGGGAAGGGATGCAGCTCAGTGGTACAGCATCTGCTTTGCATGCAGGTCCCTGGCAAGTCAGGTCCCTGGCATCTTCAGAAGGGGCTACAAGAGAACCCTGCTTGAAAACCTGGAGCCTATATGGCCCAATGGTCTGATTCATGACTCATGCAGCTTCTTCATGTTGCCTCTTTGTTTGCATTTGCAAGTGTGTCTGTCTGTCTGTCTGTCTGTCTATGATTTCTGTGTGAGAGCAGGGTGAATGCATAGGCTAGCCTCTTTGGAAACTACTATGGTCGAGAAGGTTGATCGCCAAAGAACTGATGCTTTTGAATTATGGTGCTGGAGGAGACTCTTGAGAGTCCCATGGACTGCAAAAAGATCAAACCTATCCATTCTGAAGGAAATCAGCCCTGAGTGCTCACTGGAAGGACAGATCGTGAAGCTGAGGCTCCAGTACTTTGGCCACCTCATGAGAAGAGAAGACTCCCTGGAAAAGACCCTGATGTTGGGAAAGATGGAGGGCACAAGGAGAAGGGGACGACAGAGGACGAGATGATTGGACAGTGTTCTCGAAGCTACCAGCATGAGTTTGACCAGGCTGCAGGAGGCAGTGGAAGACAGGAGTGCCTGGCGTGCTCTGGTCCATGGGGTCACAAAGAGTCGGACACGACTAAATGACTAAACAACAACAATGGTCAAAAAGGAACATACAAATATTGTGAACAAAACAACCACAACCCCAAAATAAATACTGTAGAAGGGATTATTCTCTCTCCCTCTCTTGGTCTCTCCCTCTCTCCCTCTCTTTTCTTTCTTTCTCTCTCTCTCTCTTTCTTTCTTTCTTTCTTTCTTTCTTTCCAGGCCATGGTTTTCTTCAGTTCCTCACCACCTACTGTATTGGGCATGTGTGATAGATTTCAGTTGCACACCTGAAGAAACTTGATGTAAAATATTAAAATTCAAAACTGTTTTCCTGGGAATATTAAGACCTGTACACCACCAAGAAGAAACATCTGCCTCGATCTGGGATCTCGCCACTGTTCCTTTGCTTTCCTTATTTAAATCTGGTTGGGATTTTACAGTCAAAAGCCTTCAGGCAAATTAAACTCGTCATGTTCACCCTAAGGGAAAGGAGACTTGAGTTACAGAGGTCTCATATCAGTTGGTGCCTACCAGACGAACTCTAGGAGATTAATGAGTCTCCATAATTAAAGAGCAGCTAATTGAAATGTAGCAACTGGGCTACTGGAAATCTCACAGTTAATCTTCTGAATCTGGCTTCCTAATGCACCATCGTTTACTTAAGAACTTATAGCACAGTCCTGTACATCAATACTCAGAATTAAGTCTTGTTGAGTTTAATAGGGCTTATTACCAGGTAACTGGATATATAATTAGTGTACTTCTATAGGAGTGTGACACCAGTTCATTATCAACTATGACTTACAAGTTCAAAAACTTGTAATTGTGCCAAAAACACTAGTCAGTTTGTAGCAGTAGCTTTATCAAATTACTTATTCATGCAATACATGTTGAAATGCAGGCAGAGTGGGCACACACTCTGATGTGAGGTGAAAGATTTTCCATTAAATATTTGCCATAGCTATATTTTTCTGCAGGAAAAAATGCCCACTTATAGAAATGCATTGCATCACAAAAATATATGAATTAACATAATGAATGAACACAATACAAGTCAATCTGGTCAACTGGGGTAGATACAATACCAGTCAAATCTAAAATCAAAGTTGTAATTAACTTTTTTTCAGGAGGTTATCCCTAGAAATCAAATACTGTACCTTTAATGTACACAGCCCTTCAGCCATGTTAAAATGAGTACATTAGTCATTTTCAATGCCATTTCTCCCCTTAAAATCTGTGGATGACATCCGTGACACCATCAGAAGTGACAAGCCCTTCCACTTCTCTCCTCCATCTTGAAAACCTTCCCCTCCCCAACCTGGCCAAGCGGGTCCGCCAACCTCCATAGCAGATTTTGGGGTATTTGGAAAGGATGCAGGGAAGAGTTCGAGAAGGAGTCCCATTTGAGCCAGTGTAAGTTTGTTGTGCATGTGAGACACCAGAATCGGATATCCACATAGATCAGCCTTCCTCCAGATGTTTTGGACTACAACTTCCACCAGCCCCAGTCAACACTGATCTAGAGCATCTGGAAGTCACCAGCTGGCAAAGCTTGTCATAAATAGTGCAAGGGAAATGCAAGCTATTGGGTTCTCAAAAATGTAAATGTATGCCAATAGAAGTAATTTCCAATTTAAATTATTTGTTAATTTGTTTGAAAATATATTACATTTAAATCACATTAATTAAATGGAGTGTTAGGGGAAGGGGTAGGACCTCTGGCAGGAGACACATTATGTTCCTTCTGGGATAGTTTGTCCACCTTTGGTCCCCATCCTGTTCAGGGAAATATATCAAGTATAGTGGTACCTCGGGTTACATACGCTTCAGGTTACATACACTTCAGGTTACAGACTCCGCTAACCCAGAAATAGTGCTTCAGGTTAAGAACTTTGCTTCAGGATAAGAACAGAAATCGGGCTCCAGCGGCGCGGCGGCAGCAGGAGGCCCCATTAGCTAAAGTGGTGCTTCAGGTTAAGAACAGTTTCAGGTTAAGTGCGGACCTCCGGAACGAATTAAGTACTTAACCTGAGGTACCATTGTAACAGGTATCGGGTGAAAATGCCCTACCTCTTCTGTGGTGTGTACAGCAATGTAAAAAGGCAACTGGAAACAACCACACTGTGTTTTAAGCTGCCTATGGATGTGTAATTTTACTCACACGAGAACAGCCTTCTGCCTAACACAACTATGGAAAGCAGCTTGAGAATATATGAGTGTTTGGATCAAGTACATCCATTTGCTACGGCTGCATTATACAACGATAGCGTTGTAGATGCCAAAGTGTTTTGAAGGTCATCACTTCCATCCTTCTGAGTGAGACAAGTCCTCTTATAATTGGCAGATTAGCCCACTGTAAGGTTTCCCACACTCTTTAGGCGAGTTTCAGTTCTGAGAAAATATGTGCACGAAAATTCAGGTGTGCGATTTCAGAGCTTAACACAATTGCCTTTGCTAGACTGAAGCATGAATTGTACTCACTCATGCTCTCTCTTCACATGGAGATAGATCAGTGCATTAACTTACCTGGATAGCTCAGTCGGTTAATGGTATGGTGCTGATAACGCCAAGGTTGCAGGTTCGATTCCTGTAAGGGACAGCTGCAGATTCATGCATTGCAAGGGGCTGGATTAGATGATCCTCAGGGATCCTTCCAATTCACAATTCTGTGAGTCTAAGATTCTATGACTGAGTGGCTATGGATTTCCTGGCAGAGGCGTACATGTGTACAAAGGGTGGCAACATGTCCAACGACATCCGCTATCACACCACGCGCGCTGATATGAACGAAATTTAGCATGACGTGACAGTGGTACTGATCAAAACGCCACAGTTCCATAATGCAGCAGGGAATGCATTGTAAAAGGAACATTGAAAACCGGTACAGAGGTGCCAGAATTAAAACCAGGAAAACTAACACAATAATCCCCACTTCTGAACGCATCCTCTGTCTCTTTTTTCTCTAAGATACCAATTTCTTTTCCGACTTGCTCAGATTCGGTAGTAATGTTTCTAGCAGATAAATATGCAGAAGTGTCTCTCAGTAGTCCTACAACATGCAGAGCTGGCTGCCTGCTTTGGAACATCCTCTCCAGTGAAACTGAACCGGCAGGGCTGTGACAGAGTAGGAGGACCCAGAAATTGTAGTCACATGAGGAACGGGCACTGAAATAGGATTTGCATCAAGGTTCTAGAGAAGCCTGGACCAATTCAAGTCCTATTTGACAGACTCAGAATAGACCCACCTTTTTGGTGTGTGCATCTGTATCACATCTATTACTTTAGCCTACAGATTTGATTTAAGAACATGCATTACACATGACCGTCCAGTCAATAGTACCTTCCACAATCTTACAACCAGACATTAACTGATATATTTCTCGACGCCATGGATTTGCTTTCCAGACCCAGATATTTATTAATCTGTCACATCACAAGAAAGCATCAACCCCTCATATAAGCACACACATACCCTGTCCCTAGTATCACGTCCATAACTGAGGTTGCACAATGATCTCACTTTTTCCAAGGCCTCTGGTTGTTAGGTCAGGAACATCTCACCCTGTATCAGCATACATTCCCCTTTCCAAAGCCTCTGGTTAATGGGTTAGTTACTCTCTTACTGGATAGCTCAGTTGGATAGAGCATGGTGCTGATAATACAAAGGTTGCAGGTTTGATCCCCGTATGAGACAGCTGCATATTCCTGTGTTGCAGTGATCCTCAGGGAACCTTGCAACTCTATGATTCTATGCCCATAGCACAACTGATTTTCTTGATGGCTGGCATTTTTTATTTCTCTTTCCCTTTACAGCTACATCTCCAGTGCATATGCCAATCCAGTTTTAGTCTAGCATTGCTGTGCAATGGTCTCTGCTCAAGGGCTCTATAAAAGGCAGTTCCTTAGATCCTTCCATAAAATGAAATCAGCCATTTTGAGCACATTAACATTGTGCTTTCAGTCTGTTGTCATTTTCTTTTAGGCCTAGTAGGACCAAATCATCCAGTCGCTTTTACGTGTATCGCATCTGCTCTGGGGCATGTTTAATTATGTGGTGTGTGTCTGTGTATCAGATTCACCTAGGTTACTTGAGAATTGCTTTGCAGAAGTGTTAAAATTACAGCTTTTACAGAATCATTAGAGAAGGGCAAAGGAGATCTTGCCTACCTGCTGTTTCACACCCCAAATCACTTGTTCCATGTGCCAATCAAATTGAAGACTGTTGTATGTTTCTCATTCCAGGCATTTTTTGCCAAAACCAGATTTGAAACTAGTGTTTTCAGCAAAAGGGGATGGTTCTCCAGGAAAGGTAGCTGAACCAAATATTCCAGAACTGATTTATTTATATTAAAGTTAGCACTCATTGGTATTTATAAACTATATATAAAAACATATCCCCTCGTAGCTTTTTGTTACTCAGGTCTCAGATAAATGCACTCCACGGTCCTGAACCAAATACACATACAGGTATATGCATGTTTTCACACCACCTGTTCTTATGATTCCCAACCCAATGTTAGGAACAGCTATCCAGTCCTAAATGTGAGATGTGGAAATTCATCTCAGGAAGCCTAGTCTCTTTCAATCATTTATGCATGGCTTCCTATACAGCAGAAAATATATGTGTGGAGCCCTGTCCCCCTTTGTATTGGGGACATTAAGAGGACAAAAACACAAAAATATGAGTTGAAATCATTTTGATTCCTGCTGACTTTTCCACCACCTTCAGTTCATCTCGGCCAGGTATGAGGAACCTGTGAGCCTCTTGTTGCTGCAGGACCAACAACTACCATGTTAACGGTAAAGGTAACGGACCCCTGGACAGTTAAAACCAGTCAAAGGCAACTATGGAATTGCAGCGCTCATCTCGCTTTCAGGCTGAAGGAGCTGGCGTTTGTCCACAGACAGCTTTCCAGGTTATGTGGCCAGCATGACTAAACTGCTTCTGGTGCAACGTAACACCGTGATGGAAGCCAGAGCACACGGAAATGCCGTTTACCTTCCCGCCACAGCGGTACCTATTTATCTACTCGCACTGGCGTGCTTTTGAACTGCTAGGTTGGCAGGAGCTGGGACAGAGCAATGGGAGCTCAGCCCATTGCAGGGATTCGAACCACCGACCTTCTGATTGGCAAGCCCAAGAGGCTCAGTGGTTTAGACTACAGCGCCACCCATGTCCTATCTGCTATGGATGGCCATCTGTCATCGATGCTTTACTTGAGATTCTTGCATTGCAGGGGGTTGAACTAGATGAAACTTGGAGACCCTTCCAGCTCTACAATTCTATGGTTCTAACTACCTTCACTGTCAGAGGCAGTATGCTGTTGCTTTCCCCAAAGACTCTTGGGAACTGTAGTTTGTTAAGGGTGCTAGGAACTGTAGCTTTGTGAGGGCGAAGTTACCTTTCCCGTGATTCTTTGGGAGAAGCCATTACTTTTAAAGTGGTATGAATACGCTTAAAAGTATGGTGTGAGTGTGACCTACGGGAGTCATTCCAGAGCAGTTTGGAAGATGATAAAAGGCAGCTAGTGGAATCAAAGAGCCACCACCAGGAGCCACCAATGTCTTCTCCTGCCACTGCTTCCCACCCTTCTTCTGACGGGAAGCCAGAGGAATGTATATGTGGACCTAACTTCAACTGTATCCACTAAGCCCAGGATCACAAGAGGAAGAGCAAGCTAAGTTGCATGAGCTTTAGTAAACCCAGAGTAAAAGTAAACGTATCACCTAATAATTTTAAAAAATCTCTAAGTGGCCTACATAAAATAATACAAAACATTTTGGGGGAAATATCGATAAAATCAACAGACACAATAAAATCATTAAATCTACAGTTTTTTTAAATAAGAAATAATCCTAATGGAATTACATATTTGGGTAGGACTGCCTACACAAAAAGTTTTTTTTTAGCATTGAAAACGGTAAAAAAAGGACACCTGCCTAATATGAATAGAAAAGGTGTCCCCACTAAAAAGAACACCGAATGAACATGATATGCCATTTGTAAAATAAATACACGGCAGCTTTTGTTTTAGTCGCACCAGTGAGGGTGGGCAAAATCTACTCCATTGTTTTATGAGTCTGGAGCAAAGATGAAATAACAAGGGTGGGGTTACTGTTCTCTTCACACTTGCACAGAATCGGGAATGTTGGCTCCTTGCCACATCACGGTGTACCAAGGTGGAACAAAGCTGCCTCTGCCCCCGGTCTCTCTTGTGTGCAGCTATTGAAGGTACATGAGGCTCCTTGTTTCCCTGCATCTGGTCAGCCTCCCTTCAGGCGGACGTGGGTCCTGGCGTACCTGTGGGGACTCGAGGCAGCGAGGCGAGGCCATGTGGAGGCGCCTTCCTCGTTATCCCCTGCACTTAGTATGCAAAATTCCTCCCAACCATCATTTTGCATTTCCATCTTTTGACAGAGCGCTTGGCAAATAGAAAAAAATTAAAAAGTAATGAGGAGAGTTCCCAACTGCTTTTTTGAGAAGATTCCACATATGTGCTAATTAGTGATTCTGTCTGAAAATATTCCCTGGAAGCTGTATGGGTAGCGCAGCCTGGGATAAATAATGCAAATGCCCCATGGCACTGTCACAAACACCACAATCAGTGCTTCTGCGATTTTGGTGAGACTCTCCGAGTGCGGCACCTGAGACTAAAATATTAATGAAGTAAAACTGTAGTAAACAAACCTTCATTCCTCCCTCCCCTCCCTCAAACCATCACACAGAGACACATTTACACCTCTTTCTCCCTCGTTCCTTCTCTGCCTTCCCATTTCTTAGAGCAGGTTGAATAGCAGGCTATTAAGATGGAAACAGATCTGAAACTATTTCCTTTCTACATCCAGCTATTGCTCCTTGCCCACAAGGGGTGCGGGAGAAACACGGTTCCATTTGCATTCTTATAAGAAACTACCTAATTTGCACGCCTCAAATTGAAACAGAGTTAGCCTTCAAAATTCAAATGCCTCCAAAATTTGGCAATAACAACAACAATAATAATTCATATGCCACCCATCTTTCAAGAAGTGAAAATCAGGGAAATAAAGTTTTATCTTTTTTACGAAGTTGTTGAGTTTTCTTTAGATTCGCCAAAAATGACACTGCCGACATAGGTTGCTATACGTCCAGATTTTCCCGGATATTTTCACCATTCTGCCTATGTCTGGGAAGTTCCGGGTGTATGGCAGCCCTACCCCAGAGTAGTTCTCCAACAAGTTTGCATTAGAAAATGCATTATGCTAGTGCTTTGCAAAAATGTGTATGCTGTTTAAAACTGAATTCAGTAATGCATATATACAGGGTAATTCTCAAATAAATGCTGGTCGGTTTTCATAAGATTTTTTAAAAAAATAAATAAAGGAAATTCCAATTGCTGCAACAACTGAATTTGACTGGAGGGGGGGTGAAACTGCAACAAAAGCTATATGGTGGCATTCTGTAAGATCACATTGTCTTCCTGTGGATCAGCTGCCTCATGTCCAGATTTTTTAAACACACACACACAAACACAAAAGAGCAGTTGCACATGTATCACAAATGGTTCCCAAATTGTTGTTGTTATTACTATTATTTCATCTATTTACAAAGCACTTCATA